AACCCTATTTAAGAACTCCTCAGTCCCCGCCTCCAATGACCACCTCAACTGCCATCAAGCAATTCGGAATGATGCCTTCCAAGCTGTTAAAGCTGCCCGATTCCGAAGTACCACCACTGCTCAGAAGCGACGACACAAACATGTCCCTATCCCACCAGGTAATATACTCATGGTACATGAAAACATGTTCATTACCAATGTTGGACGCAGCAAGAAATTACAACCCCGATGGCGAGGACCCTTCAAAATCTTATCTTTTGAGAAGCATACAGAAAACTACACTGTCCAGATGGATAGACGCATGTACCACCGCAATACCGCAGTCTTCCATGCCTCGGCTGTCAAGCGATTCCACCCAAATAACAACTCCAAGTTCCCTAGAAGAACCCACTCTCGACCTGCACCTATCATCATTGACAAGAAAGATGAATGGGAAGTTGAAGAAATCAAAGACCACCACCTTTGGCATGGAAATGATCAGTTCCTAGTCAAAGGGAAAGGATACCCTACGAGCGAGAACAGCTGGGAACCACTAGAAGGACTAGAGCACACTATGGATATGGTGAATGAGTGGTGGAAAGACAATATGCCAAACGAATCCCTCCCCCCAACAATCAATTACATAACCATATGCTGGACACCTACTATGCCAGAAACTGAGCGATGGCATGCAGAACTCGAAGCTAGAGATGGATTCTGGGCACCATACTTTGAGTCGGAATTCGAAAGCAGCGATGAGGAAAATCAAGCTATGGAGCAGGCTCTCAACAACCTTATCTAGTCACCAATCACCATCCAAATACCATAACGATGTCAAACTATGTGGAATTCAATGTGAGGCTGCAACAACAGATTGTTGGACTGTTGTTGAACCACGATGCTATCCAATTTGAAGACTATTTCGAAATCCTCTGGATAGATTACTGTCCTGATTGTGATCATGCTTGGGTTGATGTACAGCGCAAATCTGGCATTCGTGACTACTGTGACTTGCATTTCTTCGAGTCTAAGTGTTTCCTTAGAGTTTCATCTTGTCCCTGGTGTGACACTTACGATGAAGAGTTTTTAGCGGAAACTGAAGCCTTTAGTTTCTCAGACTCCGCTTTTGATGATTATTAGGTTTTGTTTGTTTAAACAGTTGTTTTGTTTTGGGGAATGTAACCGGTACGGGTACTCAGTTATTGGTTTTGTTTTATGTTTTGTTTTAAGTATCACGTTGATACTTAGTTTGTTTTAAGTATCGTTTGATACTTGGTTTTGTTTTATGTTTTGTTTTAAGTATCACTTTGATACTTGGTTTGTTTTAAGTATCGTTTGATACTTGGTTTTGTTTTATGTTTTGTTTTAAGTATCACTTTGATACTTGGTTTGTTTTAAGTATCGTTTGATACTTGGTTTTGTTTTATATTTTGTTTTAAGTATCACTTTGATACTTAAGGAGTTTTACCAAAGTATATCGATTGATACCTTTGATTAGTATCCT